CATTCCCAAGCCAACAGCCTCCCCTGCCCAGCCCCAGCCATGGGGCACCATGGAGCTGATCACCCATGCCCACGGCCCCGCTGCGACCCTGGAGCCCACGGCATCGGATGCTCTGCCCGTGGGTTTCCAGGCTGGCTCAGAGAAAGCTCCCTCTAATTCTGCAGCTTTTTCCTGGCTCCAGGTCTGGACTCACCCTGGCAGCTCCAGGCAGCGTTGGGGACTTACCTGCCAGGGCTGGAGGGTTGCCCCAGCGCTGACTGGGCAGGAGAGGGCCCTGGCCCGGCGCAGAAGCAAGGCTATGTTTCGTCTGAGCTGGGGCTGGCTCTACCGTCCTCTCCCTGTGGCGTACACTCAACTTCCACACGCATGCCGCATGCATTTTTCTTAGCCCCGTTACAATCACTCCCGCCACAGGAGCGACCCTCCACGAGCTTTGGAGCAGCTCCCACAGGCTGTGCTGTAAATCCCTCCCAGCCCCGGCATGACCAGAGGGGTTAGCTGGCAGCACGTTTTTCTTCACTACACAAACTGGTCACCGACTTCATGCAAAACACAAGGACAGAGCCGCTGGTTAGTGACACGTGCCCTTCCCAGCTGCTGCCATGCTGTGGTGGTGCGAGGGACAGGGCAGGCAGCCAAAGGCAGGGCACTCAGAGATGACGTTGACTTCTCCTGGTTAGCAGACGCACAAAACACACGACAGAGCCATGCAACACAGACAACAGCGTGCATCGGGGGAAGACAGCTACGCCGGAGAGGAGCCTGGGGATGTTTGAAAGCTAGCATGCTCTTCCAAACCAGTGTGGGAGTGCACACCAGCAAGGCAATACCAGGCACCAGGACAAGGAACATGAAGGCGTGATGGCACTGAGAGTCTCGGTGGAATGGCGTCCCTGTGTACCTCTAGCTGGGAGACATCTGGGCTGGGCTGGGAGACCTTCTCCCCGCCTTTGCCATCCTCTTCCAGTCTGGGAACTACTTTGTCAGTGTGCTGGAAGGAAACCAGGCCTTCGTCTTCCGTTTCACTCTTGTCCTTGTCCAGCTCGGGCAGGCTCCGCGAGATGTCCTCAAAGGCTGTGCCGTGGAAGTCACCGATCACTGTGAAGTCCACCTCTGCTTCCAGGCTGGAGGTTGAACTGACCGTGATGCTGGAGCACTTGCGCTCGATGGCCAGGTGGTTGTCCTTCAGAAAGACCGAGTCCTTCTCCTGGTCCTGCTCCTCATCGCCGGTGTCACTCTCGGGAGCCCTGTGCCGAGGCGGCTTAGCTTTCTCCTCAGCGCCCTCCCTCAAGCCCGCTCTCTGAATGAGACACAATGGCGGAGAGAGACGGAGACAGTGAGCACCGCATGGCGCGGCAGCGCTGGCAGTGCCGACGGGGGCGAGGGGAGGAGAAGGAGAAAGAAGGCTGCAGCAAACATCACAGAGTAAAGTCAAACACAACTCAAGCATGGAGACTGAAACCTTTCTGACAGCAGCGACTTTGCAGGGGTAGGGTGGGGTGGGGGGAGAAGGGTTATTCGGTCTGACTTTGCCAAAAGTCTATTGGTAATTAATCATCTCAGAAAAGGGTCAGTCACACAGAAAAGCTGGGCCAGCTTGGAGGCACGTCAGTGCACCCGGTGGAAGCAGATGTAGGCAAAACAACAGGTCTGTTAAGAGACATTCAGAAACAGCTCAGACGCCAGTGCTATCGTACGTCAGTAAGGTTGGGCACTCAAAAAAAAACAAACGAAGGGAAAGAAAGAGAGAAGAGTTTGAAAGAAAAGGGCCCCATCAGCCACGCACAGTGAAGGAGAAGCAGAGGAGTGTGCCAATTCCACTGAGCATCGGCGTGGGCCCTGCAGAGCATCGTCCCAGGGGAGGAGGACCAGCCCCGCCGAGGTGGCCCACCAGCCCTGCCCGCTGGGGCGGCTGCCCGTGCCGGGGCTGAATCTGCCCCACCAACACAACGCTCCCCCTCCGGAGGCCTCATGCAGCCGGGGGGGAGTCTGAGGGACGACCTGGTTGAGTGTTTGGTCAGTGTAATTGACAGCACGATCAGAGCCAAGGGATGACCTCCCTCCATTAGCTCTTCTCCAGACATGGACATACCTCTCAACTCCGCCATCAGAGGGTACGTTTCCCCTCGCCACACTTTGCCATGAAGCCATGGGAAATCTTGACCCATTGCTGGACTTTGCTTCTCGCTCTCGGCAGTTCTCCCTTAGGAACAGCTCTAAGCCCACCGATGCCAGAGGAACCCCACCTCCTGGACTCTGGTCCAAGCGTTTGCAGCCAGAGCCGTCCCCCCAAGGGGCCAGGCTGTGCTGGCCCAACCTTCCCTTGGCGCTGCTGGGAGGTTGAGAGGTATGAGAAACAGGGTGTCAAACAAACTCAGGGGGAACACACCTGCATACGTGTGTGTGTGTGTGTGTATGTATAAATATATACATAACAGCTCTGCAATGGGGAGGGGAGCTGGAAGCACACAGCCCTCAGCTGGTTAAGGTGAGCTTTCATACTACGGTAAGAAGCAGTTAGTAAAACAGCACTGAGACCTGGAAGACCACTGGAACAGCAGTCTTTAAATTCTCTTCTTTCGGGCTGGATTTTACTGACGGGTCAGATAAATCCTTCTCTTCCCCACTTGGTTCCTGAGATTTGCTCTGGATTAGAGAAAATGGTTAGTTGTAAGGAAATGATCTCTACAGGAGCTGATCTAGCACTTACAGGAGCGAAGAAAGCTATTTCATCATCCAGCCACCAGCTTGCCGAAGACAGGGGAGGGTGGGTGAGGCCGGGGAGCTAAGCAAGAAGGGATATCAACGTAAGAAATGCAAGGGTGAAGCTGGAAGCGTGGGCACGCCGCTGCTAGGTGTGCGTGCGTGTCCGTGACGGAGTCGCAGCTCCTTCAGCCACCCCCCGTTTCCCTTTCTTGCTCCTGGACATGAAGCTTGGGTGCCCGCTCTTGGCTTTAGTGAGCGGCATTCTCCAGAGAGCCAAAATGTCGGGGGGGGTCACAAAACAAAAGCTGATGAACCAACTGGCCAGCGGGTCTGCATTCAGCAAATAAGCCTGACCACACACACATACATAAAAGGACAGGGGATGCAAAGCGACTGCTGTCAGTCAATGGATGTGTGAGGAGCCACTGAACATGATAATAAAGAGCCACACAACATGCGCATGAACTTTCCGTCCGGACAGTTCATTGGAAGAGTTACCACGGCTTCTGCCAGTGTGAGTTCGCAGCCAGAGTCGGGGGAGGCCAGGTCAGCACTGTCTTCTCCTTCGTGCTCCAGGTCAACAGAAACATCTTCCTTCAGAGAGAGAGGCTGGGAGTTGTCTCCTGAACCAGCCCCTTGCTCGAGGGCCAAGGAGCCCACGCCGGACGCGGGTGCCACCGGAGTGACTGGCACCGCCGGCAGCGAGGCGAGGCCTCTGTTCAGAAGCACGTCCTGTGCCAGACCTGTCTTCTCCTTTGCTTTCACTGATGTCTCAGCTTCAGGCACACGCTCCTGTCCCTCCTGGGCTGCCCTTCGCTCTGCTTCACTTTGCTCGAACATCTTAATCTTAGAGGCCACTGAGGTTTTCCTGTAGTTCTCACCGTCCTGCCAGCTACCTGGGGCCACAGTGACATCTCCATGCTCCTGGGACACGGCTCCTGTCCTCCCGGCCATGCCACCAGACCCAGACTCTATTTGATGCAGCCCACTGCTCGCTTGCAGCACTCCCCCGCCTTCACAGATCAAGGTAAAGAGCTGGTCCGTCTTGCTTCCCTGACACAATCCTGCTACGGGGGAGCGGGAGTGCGGGACACCAGCAGCTTCTCTGGGAGGAGACTTATCCTGCGCTGGCTGCCCCGGAGCAAGGTCGCTGTCTCTGGCGGTTTCTCCTGCTGCAGGGCTCCTGCCCTGCACATCTTGTCCCGCATTGAACTCCAAGACCCAGGGTGGCTCTTGCGCTTTGGGATCTGCAGTGTGGAGCAGCCCTCCAGCCACGGGACCCTCTTGGGGCAGGTCTCTTGTTATGGCCTCGGTCTGTTGTTCTGGTTCTTCTGCCCTGGGAGGCAGCTCTTCCATGCAAGGGCTTTCATCATGGGACAATTCTTCCATCCCCTGGCCTTCAACTCTGGTCAGCTTCCCTGGTGTGGGCCCTATGTCCTGGGAGAGCTTTTTTATCATGGACTTCTCCTCCTGGAGCAGCTCTTCTGTGGCAGGGACTTCGCTCTGGGTTGCCCTTGCTGTGACAGGGTCCGTGTCCTGGGCCACCTCCCCTGTGGCCGGGTCTCTGGCCTGGATCGGCTCTGCTGCAGCGTCTATGTTTTGGGGTAGTCCTCCTGCAACAGGACTTGCACCGTGGTGTGGTTTCCATGTAGCAAAGCCCATGTCTTGGGGTTCTTCAGATTCAGGATCGGCGCCTCTGGGTGTTGCCACCTCTGCTACAGGGCTCACGTCCTTGGGTGCTCCTTTGTCTCCTACAGCGCTTGCCTCCCTGTGTGCCACCTCTGCTGAGGGGTTCACATCCTTGGGTATGCCCACACCTCTTACAGGGCTGGTACGCTGGGACAGGTCTCTGCCCTCAGGCTCCGTGCCTGGAGCTGGCTCCACAGGGACAGGGCCGGACTGCTGGGGAAAGGGCGGAGGGGCAGGAGGCCTGGGTTTATCCTCCTCCGACCCCACGGTGGTGGGAGGGTGACCCTGCCATGGCACAACTGACAGAGGTGACTTGGTCTCTATCTCTTCCATCTGAAGAACCACTCTGGCACTTTCCTCCTTGTCGCCGTCTGCTCCAGTCCTTCCTGAGAGCCCCTCCAGTGCCGTGCAGATGTCTGGGTTCTGTACTGGGCTCCCTCCGTGCTCCTCAGCCCTGCGGCTGTCCCCTGCCAGGCCACACGGCTTCAAGGCTCCCACTGGGCTTCGCAGCTCCATCTCCTCCGGTCCCACCTCTCGGGAACACGGTAGGGCTTCACCTCCCTCGGGTGCCTCGCAGCCTCTCGGCCCAGCAGATGCTCTCTCCTGCTGTAGGGGCGGCCCTTCCTCCCGCCCCGAAGAGGGGTGTCCTGCCAGGCTGGTCCCATCACAGCCTGTCCCGGGCTGCTCCGCTGCTTCGGCAGGTTTTCCAGACACTGCCCTGTGTTGCTGACTTGCTGAGGAAGGGGCTTGGAACCCTTCTGCCACAGGTGCCGCGTGGTTCACGGTGGCTTCTGGACTCTCCTCCAAGCCAAGCCGTCCACCCGTCTCCGAGGGCAGGTGTGTTTTACTGTCCTTCGCCTCTCCCTCTGGATCTCCTAAGTAGATGATCCTCTGGGTCGCAGAAGACTCCGAGCTGTCGTCGCTAGCCTTCACTTTAATTTTAACGAGCTCCGTGGCTGCGGCCGGCACTCTGGCCTCCTGCTTCCTGGAGGCTGCGGAAGCACGCTCCTTGGAGACCACCTCGCTTTCTGCTGGGGGAGCCTCTGGCCCCAGAATCTTGGCCCTTTGCCTCTCTTCAGGCTGCTGACATGGCTTGGGCGGACCTGGCTTATCGGTGGTTGCTTCCTCGCCCTGCTCTTGGGGCCCTTTCTCTGCGCTCTCAGCTGGCAGGCGCTCTGCCTCCCGCCTGGGCTCCCCCCTGGTTTCCTTCTCATAGACCTCATCCTCCCAGACAGACTCAAAATCCTCTGGACTAGCGATCATTTTTGCTCTCATCCGGGTATCCAGGGCTGCATCTGCTGGCTCTTCCTGGCCTGCCACTTCCTTGGCTGTCCCTACTGCCATCTCCACTTTCGATACGCTTGCGCTCGTTTTCACCTCGGAGGCACCTGCATGTGCTTCTTCTTTCTTGACTCCCAGAGCTTTCTTTAGAGCTACCGCCTCCAGCCTAGGAGTTTCTCTCTCTATAAATACCCAATGCTCCGAGCCCTGCATTGCAATTGGAGCAAGAAGAGTTAGCATCAAACATACCTTACCGAACTGCTGACGACTGCTGTCCTGAGTAACAGAAAGCTGATCTGCCTCAGACAGGGCTGACTAAATTATTATTATTCATGCAAGAGTTGAGGCAGGGTCTATACAAAGAGCTTGGCAACTCGCTGATGGAGAGAAGGGACTGAAAATAAGGGGGCTGATGCGGTGATGGGGACCGAGCCCCCCTCTCCTCTCCAGGGACCGTGCTTTGCTCTGGGCGGTGGCGCACTGACATACCTGCAATACCTGCAGCTTTGCTGGAAGTACAGAAGTGGGAGCAATGCTCCCAGCAGACACATTAGCAGCCATCGGGGCATCTCATGCGGCAGGGGAACACGGCTGGTTAAACCCAGCTGGGACTCCCCATCTGACTCCTGTTTTCAGCTGGCTTTAGCAATCTCCGTGAGCAAAGGGCGAGATTTCTCTGTACGCAACGCTCTGTGTTTTGAGCAGCTTCACTCTTCATCCACGTGCCCTAAGACTATGTCAGACTGCCAGGAACACGAGCAAGAAAAGGAACCACCTTTAGGCATCAGAAAGGCCCTTTCCGCTTCTTACCAGCCGCTGCAGCTCAGATTCACTCCGAAGTCCACCCTTCCTTTCCAGCTTGCCAGGGAAATCTCAACAGAAGCAATTATTTAGCAAAGGTTTCTAGCAATGCTGAAACAAAGCGG